CAGGACACGCAAGGCTCGCTGCCGCCACACCTGGCTGGCCGGCGGGGCGCGCGGGGCGGACGACGGGGGCGCGGGGGCGCCGGCCCGGAGGTCCGGCCCTGGCGGTCCCTGCCCTGAGCCAGCGGCGCTGGGACGCGGGCTCACCCTGGGCCGAGCGTCGGGCCGGCGTGACGTGCGCGCGGCGCGGTGACGTGGGCGGCGGCGGTCCCGCTCCGCGCAGCGCGCCTGCGCGCCTTTTCGCGCCTTCGGCGCCCTCCTCCTCCTCCTCCTCCCGCCGCTCATCTCCCGCGCCTCTTGCCGGTGCTACCCGCCCTGGGATAGGGGAGGGGCCTGTGCGCGCGTGCGCGTGTGGCGGGACTGGGCTGGAGACCGCCAGCGTTGAAAGGCGCTGCGCGCGCCTACATGTGCGCATGGAGAGAGGCCACGTGTGTGCGCGCCTCTGTGTGTGTACACCCAGAGCCAACTGTTTGCATATCTGTGTGCATGCGCAGGGAGCAGAGGGCCACGTGTCTGCCTCTGTGTGTGTGTGCCACGTGCACCAACGGTGAAGGTCTATGTGTGTGCCATACCAGCATATATTCGGAGTCCGAGAAGGGTCATGTGTGTGCACACCTGTGTATATGGAGATAGTCTGGCTGAATCACGTGTGTGTGCAGAGTGTGAGTCCTATGTACACGACTGAACATTTATACAGAAGAGAACCTTCTGCAGACAAATATGTATACCCGTGTTTAATGTCTGCACACTGAAATGAACAGGCATGTTTATAAGAAGAATAGAGGGATCAGCTTTGTGCACACAAGGAAAGAGGGCAGTTCTGAGAGTGCTTTAAAGTATCTGTACACCAGAGGAAGAGCTGTTTTGTATATTTACACAGTTTTGTAATATACAGTTTGTATATTTACAAAGTGAAGACTGTTAGGATGCATGCTGGACAGTGCAGAGACATGAAAAGCCCACGTTCAACTGTTGACTTCCACAGCCCCTCCACAGCCTCATGGCCTGAACTTGGGTTGTCAGTGATTGAGGGCAGGAAGCGGCCTACCAGACAGGTGGTGTGTTTGCTTCTTCCCCTTCAGAATCCATCTGCTTCATCCCACAAGGTGTCTGGTAGACCCTGAGCCCTAAAGACTCAGTCCATCTTGGAGACCACTACTGTGGGACTAAAGCTGGAGAGCCTGGGAGGAGAATAGGAAAGGCCTCCCAAATCAGTCTCCATGGTTCAGAAAAAATGATCCAACTTTTCCAATATGGGACTGAGGGGCAGAGTGCTGTTAGGCACTGTCAGAGAACTGTTAATGCGAGTTCCCAAATTTTATGCTGGGGGAAAGGCCAATTTGATGCCCAAAGTGCAGGTCACTTGGGCACAGGACTGGGTGAACAGCCCCTCTCTAGCATCTGACTGTGCTGTCCTCGAGGATGCCATCCTGTTTTGAACACTCTTCAGATGCCTGAGGAAGCTACAGTACAACCATGGCTCCCAAATCCTAAAGCAAAACAATGGTTCCAGAAGGCATTATCCAAGGCATGGCTATTTCAAATAGCTTGCACCAGACTTTTTGCCATCACAAGTCTTGGTAAGCTCTAGTAACCATTTTAAGCCACAACACAGGGATTGAGGGATATGGGGGAAGCATTTCCTCTAGTGACCCAGCAGGATTGTGATTGGAGCAAACATCCTTACCACGCCCCATTTCTGACTATATAAATAAACTATTTGGCTTTTTCAGTAAGTTGGGACAGTCTTTTGTCTTACACAGTTGTTTGTTTGTTTGTTTGTTTGTTTTTTGTTTGTTTTTTGTTTTTTTTTTTTACAAACTACACTAGTAATAGGAAGAAATGACAGAAGCATCAGCAGGGTTGTGGCAGCAACAAGGGGGACTCTGAAGAGCTCCAGAGAGTAAATGGGGTGAGAACAACATCAGGAAGACACCGTGGAGACAAGAGACAACAGAAATAGGAAGGAGTTGGGAAAGGATGAAGAACCAAGGCTGAAGAAGGCGATGAAGAAGCAGAGAAGAGGAACTGGGTACCAGTCACCAGGGAGCTGGCAAGCCGTGTGTGGTAACAGTCTTACTCTAGGACAGAAAGCTGCAATGCAGTCACACAAGCGCCCAACACCCATGCAGAGAACAGCAGACATTGCCCATTGCTGCTGAGGAAAGCTAAGGGTTACAAGAGCTGCAGAGTATTGTGGCTGCTTGTGGTTAAAGCCCAGAATAATCTATAAGCCTCCAGCTTCAGTATCTCGAGCTCTAAGTCTCTGGCTTCTAAAGCCTGCAGCAATAGGTCCTTGGCTCTCAGGGAATAGAGATGTGAGCCTCTGGATCTACCAGTTCATCCCATAAACTTTGGGCATGTAAGGGCTAGGATTACTAGCACTGGAGAATCTTCTCCTTGCCTGATTGTGTGTATCTGGATAAAGTGACCCCAGCTGGCTGATTAGTAATATGGAGGTCAGAGTTGTACCAAGTGCTGGGCTAATTAACAGCTATGAAGAGCTTTGAGGAGCACAGACCAAAGGCCTCACTTGGTAATATGCAACATATTATTACTGGACACCCCTGTCTTGCATGGCTTTACAATTAACCACCTTTATGCTGACTACACCTGCTCCTACCACTTCAGTTAAGTCCCTCCTTAAACTGCCAAGCATCTAATTAACATTGGTTCTTCGTGTCAGAATGGAAGTCATGCATGGACGCCTTCAAAAGGCCAGGAGTCCTCCAATTCTTCAGCTCTCCTCCCCTACCCCGGGTAACAAGAAAGCAAAAATAAAACACCATCCTGCCTCTACGGTGGGAAGTTGCACCCACAAGAGTGGGTTTCTTAACTACAAGGAAGGACTTTACGTGCCAACAGCCTCCAACGTGCAGTCGTTTCCGAGAGCAATTAGCTCCATTCAGTGGAGGAGGCAGAAGGCCGTCAGCATTCTGGAAGCCAGGTTGACAGGAGTTAGAAGCTTGGTGGTGAGTGAAGGACAGTCAGATGTGACCGGAACAGTGGTGCCAGAGAACACATGACACGGGTGGGCTGTTTGGGGAAAGCGCCTCAAGATGGATTAATTTCCTGATTTTTGCTTATAATTTGTGGTAGACAGATTTGTGTCTTGAATGCTGAGTAACCAGGAAGCACTACAATAAATGTACTCCTGATAAGACACACTCTCCAGTTTGTACACTAGTTAGTTACTCTTAGCTGTGAAAAAAATCCCAGACAGAACCAGCTGAAGTGAGGAAAGTTTCAATTTATGGTCATTTGGCCCCAAGCATGTGCACAGAATATCACGGTGGAAGAAAAAAGTGGCAGGGGAGAGCTGTTCTTCACGGCCCCCCACACAGGAGGCAGGCAGAGAAATGGGAGGTTGTAGAGCACATCCATCCTGGAGAGAAGGTTCTTTGTGTTCACAAGGGAGGCACCTGAAGACTCAGGAAGTAGAGGCTGGAGAGATGGCTCCGCAGGTAAAAGCACTTGCTGTTCTTGAAAAGACCTGGGCTTTGGTTCCTAGCACCCACATGGCAGCTTATAACCATCTGTACCATCTAGGTCCAGGAGATTTGGCACCCTCTTCTGACCTCGAGGCACCAGGCATACATATGGTACATATACATTACATGCAGACAAAACACTTAGTACACATTTTTAAAGAATGAAACTTGGGGCTGGAGAGATGGCTCAGTGGTTGAGAGCACTGGTTACTCTTCCATAGGACCCTGGTGTGATTCCCAGTATCCACATGGCAGCTCAAACTGTCTGTAACCCCAACCCCTGGGCATCTGATGCCTTCTCCTTGATACTGCACAGACATACATGCAGGTCAAACACTCATATGCATGAAACAAACAAACAAGAACAGACTAAAATACCAAAAAAGGGAGGGGGGCTGGAAAGATTGCTCAGAGGTTAAGAGCACTGTCTGCTCTTCCAGAGGTCCTGAGTTCAATTCCCAGCATCCACATGGTGGCTCATAACCATGTATAATGAGATCTGGTGCCCTCTTCTGGCCTGCAAGCAGAGCATTCTATACATAATAAATAAATCTTTTAAAAAAAAATTACTTAAAAAAATCTTTAAAAACATATTGGGAAGTAAACCACTCCAGAGCTTCAGGAAGTCCCTGAAAGTACTTGTACTAGGATCCTCCCTCCCCAACTTATATAAGCAGTAAAGACTGATGGGAGACAGCCTCAGATAAGCCCAGCTGTCTAGAAAAGACTATGACCAAGGGAGCTACCTGGAAAATACACATGTCAACCCGTTGGGATGCCCCTGCAAGCTGTGCAAAGGGCCCTAGGTTTCCAGTTTTCATGAGCTGTCTCTTGGTGGCCTTTGGTGATGCAGCTCTCCTCGGGTCTTGGGGGCTGGTGAGGGGGTTCCTCATAGGCAACACAGAGATGAGCCTTGGGAGGCAAAAAGGCAGTTCAGCTTGACATGACT